TTTTTTTTTTTTTTTTTTTGAGGTTTATATTAATCCCATTTCACATGTAGTGGTTTTATTAAATACCAAATGAATCCAGTTAGTATGTTACAAAGCACTTTAAAGATTAGATATAAAATATAAATAAATCATCTACTGAGTGAACAATTTAGATTTTAGAATTTTGTGTTTCAACAACATAAATTAACTTAGCATCTTCGCATATTATCTATTACATAATGTCACCTAAAAGTGAGAGTCTACAAATCTTGAATCAACCCTAATATTATTTCATGTTATAATCAATCCTTGGAACACAGCTAGAACTTCTAGTAATCATTTTTGATGAGGATGAATTATTTCTTCTCTTCTCACCACTTTTTTTGGCTATATTCCTCATAGCACATGCCAAGGAGAGTTTAGGGTTAAGTCTTGTGGTAGAATTGAATTCTTGACAGAAATTTCTGTGTGTGCTTACAGCTTCTTCAATGGTTATGATGGGTTCATGCTTTAATCTTTCTTTCACAACTTCAGAACAAAGCCCACAAACCCATTTACCAGAATGTGAATTTCTGATGTTTGTAATGTATTCTTTTGTGCATTCTTCTTTGAGGCCACAGCATTCACATTCTGCAGCTTGAAGAAGTTCATCATCCAATTCAACATTGGTTTCCAATTCCTTGCCTAGTTTGTTCATTTCACCTGTAACATCGGATACAGTCTTTCGCAGCAACAGGCCACTCTGCGAAACGATAGAAGAAGCAGTTCTGTTAGTAACTCATTTATACCAATAACAAACCAAGTCTAATTTCTATAAATTTAAGGTAAGTTACATCTAAGGTCGGCCATGTATGTGGTCCATTGCTATATATATTCACTGAAAATTTTAGTCCATGTTTGGTTTGGCTAAAAATCATATTTTTAATAGATTTTACTAAAAGTTGATAAAATATGTGATTAAAAAGTTGATAAAAGTTGCAGGTCCAATGAAATATGTGGTTAAAAAAGAGTTTGAAGAAAAATGAGTTTTACAACGAGAGCCAAATAAGGGCTTAATGTATTACTAGAAAGGCACTATCCGAATGAATTTTGGACTATATCTCTCTTTCTTACCTCTTGCATTGAGATTGCATCACTATTTTGGAAGAATGTATTTTGAAATAGTAGATTAGTGAAGGATGCGTAGTTGAAATAGAAGGAAAAGTTATTGATACGATGGAAAATATCATTTTATTGAAAAATGCATGGTTGAAAATAAGTAAAAGAATGAAAATGAAAATTTTAATGTGGCTCAAACAGGGGCTAAGTCTACATAAAGTGAGCCTGCGACCAGAGTTCGACAAAACATGTCCTATATTCCAATGACATTATAGAGTACAGATACATATGATCATCAACAAATAATCCATAGTGGGATTTAAACCTAAGACTTCTTAATCTTAGGATTCCAACCTTATTGTTTTCTCAGTACTGTGTGCAACTAGGAGAAGAAAGATTCTTGAGTTGAACTATGCTTACCATGTCTATGATATCTCGATCAAGAAGTTAAGCTCGACAGTCGATTCCATATAAAGTATCCTATAAAATGCTGTATATATAGGATAATAGTGTGCTTATAGCTCATGTGAAAGAATCTATGCTTTCAAGAAAATTGATGAACAAATTAATTAAAGAAACAGACTGTATGAATGCATTGCTTTCAGCATTTTAGTTTCTTTTCATGATGAGGATCAGCTTTACAGATTAAAATACCTGTGTATTGAACAGATGAGGGTTGCTTTCTTGTATTTGCATTTAATGGTATATCAAATTGCTTCGCTTTATACTGCAATTTGCAGCAGATATATAGTAACATTGGTGCATGAATCTAACTAGAATCCTTGATGAAATGGAACTTCTTGTTCAGAAAGGATGGAATATAGTGAATAGGGAGACTCGTGATCAGTTGTTCGTGGTACGTGTACTCTTAAAGTTCTAGTAATGAACCGACTAGAAAGGGGAAAGAATTGGACCGAGCCGACCCTAAATTTACAAGGAAAAAAGTTTAGTTTTCTTTTGCTGTTGTTATGTACTGTCATGTACTATTTTCGAGCTATATTTTTCGATCGTCAAGGTATATTCTTGATATTGTTTCGAAGAACTAGCGACCATCTATGAGAGACATATTTTGAAATGAAAAACTATTAAATGGTGGACTTAAAAATAACATTGCTCCTTATTGTATCAAATGTGCATAATATTTTACGTAAGATTCACTTCGCCCCATATTATTTGTCTTTTTATATCCAATGCACCATCAAAAATCTCTTTTAAATGTAGGTCGTTTTATTGGCACCATAATTTTTATTTGTTGTATTATATTTTTATTGTACTTGAATTTCTCAATCTTTGTTTATTGTAGTGTTTACATCCCTAATTTTTTTGTATTGTATTTTTATCTTCAACCCATTTGTCATTGATGATGATTTCTATCAAAATATTTTATTTCCATGCTTTGAAATGGAGGAAAATATTTTATCGCACTTTCGCATTTATTTACTTTTCAAAAATATGATGAGACGTCGTTTTACACTGTGAAAGACTTTTTGGATAGAAATTGTTATCAGATACAAGATGTGTTAATTAATGAAAAATTGAAGATAAGAATGTCATGAAAAAATATGGACGTAAGTGCTGTAATAAGCAAAGATTGAGAACTTTATAAAGTGGCATATAGTGAAGAGTTCTAAAGTCCGCGCGGGGCATATAGTGAAGAGTTCCAAACTTCATGTCTCCTATGCATTCTAGTCATCATGTGCTGAGTGAAATGCCTAACAAATTTACATATACATGTGGACATGAGAAGCATGTGAAGTATACCATGTCCTTATCAATGGAAGAGTTCATTTTCAGAAAATCCTAGTTGCTCGTTCAAGTTAATGTGTTGAGCAACTTGTTCAAGTTGAATGAGAAATGATCACGATCCTAGTCAAATTCAAGAATACTTCTAGAAAGTTTGTGTGTTGCACATCTTATTATCGGATGAATGATGCGCGTCATGTTTTTAAAATATTATTACTTTTTTTAAGTAGCTGAGATAATTGACATTGTTAGAGGAAAATTATAAAAAATATATATATGAATAAAAGTTTTTTTTTTATGAAATTATGTGTATAATGTGAACATGTTGAATAAACTTAAATGTAATATTATGATTACAATAACACTTCTTTGTACACAATATTTATGTCAACATTCCACTTTTCTTCTTTTATTTTCTACTTTTACCAAGACTTTTGTTATTTGTATTGAAATTGCTCAAGAAAGTGCGACATATAGTTGTTCATGAGAGAACGCATGTTTAGGAAGGTATATTCCAACAGTAGGTATTGTTTTGTACTTGAACCTTGTTGTTGGTCATTGCAAATCATAGACATATTGAAAATTGAATTTGAATGATATCATTTATCGTTTGCTGAAGTTAATGGGATGTGTGAAAAGAAAATTTGTTTTCCAACATGTTGTCCAACGATTATTTCTGCATGGACAATATTTTGGATCATATTACATGTATCGAATTTTTTTACCGAATTTTTTACCTACTACTCACAATGGGGTTGGAGACCACATTGTCGGAATTTTTAAATACATGCGGGTTCCGCATATTATGTGAGAGGGGGTAAACTATTATGTACAAATGGATTAACCCTAATATTTTCTTGAAATCAAGATACATCATTCTTGCTCCAAGAGTGGGGCGAATTAAAATTAAAAGATTTTTTTTTAATCTCAAAAAGGGAATTTAAGACCTGTTGGCCTAAAAATAACTAACCAAGAGTGGGTTGAATTAGTTTTTTAAAACTTTTTCGAAGAATTAATCTAAATTCAAACAAGTAAAGACTAAATAGATTAATTCAAATAGTAAGCAAAAATAAAAAAGCGATAAGTAAAAGTGAGAGATGATGCAAACGATATATTTGTACAGGTTCGATCCAAAGCAATGATCGACGTCCTCCGTGACCAAGCTCACCAGCACGAGTAAGGCCTTTTCACTATGTTGATTGACTTATGATGCAATCCAACCCTTTACAATGCTTCAGGTGACTTACAAATAAGGAGAATCGATTCTTATACAATGTTGAGCTTTATGAGACCTCAACACGACCCACACTATTGAACTTTACGGGACCTCAATATAACCCACACGGTGACTTACAATAAGGAGCATTGATCCTATACAATGTTGATCTTTAAAGAACTTCAACACGACCCACAGTTTATCAAAGTATTTTACAATGAAATTTCTCTCTTGATAAATAATACAAACAAATTAAGTACTAAGAGAGGCTAACACGTCAATTAATAGTAATAAATGATAGATCAAGTGTGAGATAAAAATTTTGATGAATATGATGATTTTATAAGTTTAGTTCAATCAATCAAAGTTTCAATATAAAGAAGAAGAAGAAGAAGAAAAGTTTATTCAATTTAAGTGTAAAAATCTTCTTCAAAAATATCTTTTTCAAAATTGATATAGATAAATTAAGCACAAAGAGAAATGAAAAACTTTAATAAGAGAAATGATTCAAAAAGTTTGATCCAATAATCAAATTTTTTGCTTTGAAAAAACAAATGAAATGAATGTAAAAATGTAAGTTCAAAAGAATATCAATTGTATACTCTAAAAGTTCTCATAATAAATGAGAAGTGAGTTGGTATTTATAGAAGTGAAAATGTCAACTTTCTGTCAAACCGGATGACCAATATAACCGTTTGTACAGTCAGAACAGTCAAAATCTGATCGTTGGAGACGTCCGGTTGACCACCGGTCTTTTTTTTTTTTTTAAATATGATCTAAGTTCAAGTACACTTTGAAAGATCGATCTTACTTTTGATCAAAAATATTTTATGCAAATGATATGAAAATAAATTTTCGTGCACAAAATGATTTTTGAGCTATGGTCATTCATTACTAAAGATCAAAGCGTTATACCTTTATATATGATTTCGAAAGCACGGTTTTTGATCTTGCTTCGAAATTTCTTTCATGTTTGACTCTTCAACTTTTGATCGTGTTCTTCTTCATGAGCCCGATTTGATAGTCTTGATTTTGATCATTTAAGCTCTCATCTCGAATGATTTGACTTGAATGCTTGATTGATTTTATCATTGAACTATCTTCATTCAAAATCAATTGTTAGAAATAATATTAATCTTGTTTGTTATGATCAAAATATTAAGGATGAAATCAACCATAGGTCAATCAGACCATCCTTTGAGTTCCTTAAAGAACGCCCGTTTTTCAATTTTATGTAGAATAAATTGAACTAATAATGTTAATAACAACATCCATTTTTCAATTTCATTGTGAATTAATGCTATTAATCTAGTAAAAAGAATTTTTTTTCTTTATCTCAAAAGGAGAATTTAAGGCCATCCTTTGAGTTTTTTAAACCAATTTTTCAATTTCTTGTTGAATAATATTTTTCCTTTTTATAATCTCAAAATGGGAATTTAAGGTCATCCTTTGAGTTCTTTAAACCAATGTTCTAAAAAACTTGCATAGGCGGTGTCTAAGCCCTATCTAGACTCAAAGTTTGGGCAAAATGTCCCGCTTTAGGTCTAGGCGCTTTTTATCTTTATCAATTCCCAAATAAGTGAAATTTTTCCTTCATCTCTTTTGTCTTCCACATGCTCCTTCTATTAATTTTTTTATTTAAAAAAATATTTGAACCTAGTTTATTATTATTTTTATTTTTAAAAAAAATCATTTAACTTTAATTTTAAATTTTTAAAATATTTTATTTGTACAAAAGTTAAAAATGATTTTATCCAATAAAGAGTTAAAATAAAATTTAAATTGAGGTGCTATCTACATTATAAAACTATGATCTTGTGACTCATTATTTTGTTGAAAACTTCGAACTTCGAAAACATGTATGAAATTCCTATAAATGTATATATGTCTTGTGTAGTTAAAAATTGAAACTATAAAAAATAGTCCAATTTTTTACATTTCAAAAACTTGAAAATTGTATAATTGACTAATTATATGAATTATTAAGTAAATATATCATTTTATAATTTTAGATATTTGATGTATATTATTTTAATTATTAAATAATTTTTAAAATGATATTTGAATTTCATAAATTTTAAATTTGTGATTATAATTAATTTTTGATTTTAACATAAATTTTTATCAACTTTTTTTAGTTAAACCAAACGAGGAATTACTCTTTATATCACTATTTTTTCTTCGAGAACCCCTATAGGGCCTATGAGGCTAGGAGTGGGTCCAAATTCAATACAGCCCAATGGATCATCAGCCGGCCCGATGGTCAACAAAGACTACCACAGTGGGCTGACTAACTATAAACCAATAAAGGATGTTAATAGCATAAATACAAAGAAAATAATATTTTTTTATTAAATTTTGTTTTTTCTATATTTTAAAATATTTTTTTGTCTTTATTTGGAAAGAAAAACTAACGGGTAATATTTTCGAACATTTTAGTCTTTCCTCTCATTGGCCTACTACTAGAATATTGGATTCTACCAAGCATAATTATTAAATTCAAATCGCCCGTTCGGCCGAAAACCCAATAAATCAAACCATGGTCCTACAGATCAACATAATTAGATCAATGCACAATTGAACCTTCATTGTCCCGCTTGAACTTATCAGGTTTTGCTCAAATTCAGCGAACCAAATAGTTTAAACAAGTCGAATTTTTGCAAATTTTCAACAGATCTTTCGAAAATTCACAAAATGGAGAATGCACGGAGTTATTCATTATCTTTAATTCTTATCATCATTATCTAGAGTTGTCATTATCTAAAAGTTTAGTTATTATCCTAATTTTATTTACTGCTTTAAACTCGAGTTGTACGTCTTATATCAATTACTTGACTCTGAATTTAATAAAGATTTTTTAGATGTTTCTCAAAATTGTTCTCTATATTTTATATTTCAAATCAACAAGTTTGAATTTGGTGAGATTTAATTCTTTTATATAAACATTCGCTACGTCAAACTCCAAAAATTTCCAATTTGCTACTATATTGTGAAGAAGATTTGATTTATTTTATTTTTTTCAAATTTTTTTTTTTTGCCTTAACATTTGCAAAAAGAATAATAATACTTGTATATAAGTAGTTATATAATGATTTACATACAGATGACATATCAAAAAGTGAATGTGAAAGTTCTTTTTATTTGATTGAAGAAAATTTGACATAATCATGTATCATCATATTATGTATATATAAATCTATTATGTACATGTAGCATAACTAGAAATTTACACATACTTGAGAGGCATGAAAACGTATTAAAGCCTTGATACAATAAAATGATGTGATTTTTATTAAAGTTACACTTGATGTGACTTCACCCTACCTTTATAACTTATTTGAAGGATAATTTGGAGACAAAACGGACAACTCTTAAAGCCATCAAACAAGTTGTTCATGTCATTAGTATATTTTATAATCTCCAACTCGAATTTAGCCGTTAAAATTGGTAGACATATTGCTTTTAGAAAGCAGTGGTAAAAATATTCCAATCGAGTTTGAACGATGACTAGTGATCCCGTAAAAACATATATAGATCTTATAACGGAATATCTTCAATGATATCAAACAACAGAAAATGTTTCATTCATGTTACTTTTTATAGAAAAAGGAAAAACTTTTAAATTCAATCAAACCAAATGTGTTCTCCTTCTCTTATTGCTTACATATTGCGTCACTAAGAAGTCTAAAACCTGGTATCGCTTCTTTTCTTAAATTATTAGGTAGAATTCGATCAAAATAGAAAAGAAAGATATATGCACTTCTACGAACACGATTAACAATTTTGATTAATAAGTTTGGTATGTAAGTGGTTTTCAAGAAAGAGCAATGAAAATTGTGCAAACCAGCAATCTCTCGTAGTGTTGAATTATTAAATGTAACACTATTTTTACTAACTTTAATTGTGAAAATTATTCTATCTCAAACATGTAACCATCTCAAAAAGATTGCTTATGAGAATTGTGTTACATAATCATTCTACATACAAGTTGATAGCTGGATGTGTATAGTATTTAGATTCCTACCCAACAATTGCACAAAGGGAAATGCTACAAGTACAGGGGTGGGTAGTTCCACAAGCAAGACACATTGGGGTGGTGGGGTGGCATTTTTTTCAATTTTTTAAACAGGTGGAGCCCACTACTACATTGAGAGGCCTGTAATGGCCCTGTAATTTGAACCCCTGTACTTGGGGATTAATCCATTGCGGAAATCGATTAGAACCGCCAATTTCATACAGATAAATAAACTAATTTATGCCCTGTTTGGTATAGATTAAAATCAAATTTTTAGTAGATTTTCATAAAAATTGATGAAAAGTGTGGACCGTGTGGTTGAAAAGTTGTTGGTCCCACAAAATATGAGATTAAATTCAAATTTTAATTCATACCAAACAGAATTTTAGTGTCAAAAAGTAAATGGCTATAGCGTAAGAGAACCGCCCATCTTACTATATTACTTTCAAATTTTGGTTCATATTGTCATTATCTGTGGGTCTACTTGTTAGGTAAAATTGAAAAACCGAAGGATTTGTTTCTACCTTTATTCAAGGAGAGAACACAAAGCTAGATTTCAAATTTCTTTCTTTGTTTTTTTATTAAAAATATGGAAATATTATTTTCATATTCTTGTGATATTAAGCCCCTGTTTGGATGAGATTAAAATCAGTTTTTTTAGTAAATTTTGATAAAAATTGATGATGTATGGTTGAAAAGTTAGGAGGTCCATAAAAAATGTGGTTAAAATTAATTGTTGACTTTAACTTAGATTAAAATATAAATTTTAATTCCTACCAAACATGTGCTAATTCTTGTGATGGACCGCAACTGAAAGGGAAATCACAGCGTTAAAGTCAATTGGAGCTCACGACTTTTGTGTATATATATTAATCTTTTTTGATTCAACAATGTTATGATAAGAATTTTGAGACGGGGAAGAGTTTTTACGATAAAATCCATTTATCCAATGAGACTCCCAAGTGTGAACTTCAAGCTGTCACATTTGATATTGAGCTATTGAAATAAAGACCAATTCTTTTCTCTGTTTATTAAGAATTGTGTAAGAAATTTGAAAATTGAAGGGTTGGCTTCCTAATGGACAAATTATAATACAAAGTTTATATTTGGTTTAATTAAAATAAATTGATAAAGATTTAAGTTATGGATTTCATAATTTTTATCAATTTTTAGCCACACATTTTATTAATTTTTATCAAAATTTATCAAATATCTGATTTTCATAGTCTGGGACCCACTTGCGAAATCAAAGTTGCCTAACAACAAACATAAAAATGAATAATTATTTTATTTATTTCCTAGAATAAGACTACAAGATCATTAAACATGATATTATTTTTAATATATTTTCGAAGGTCTGTAGGAAGTTCGTTGAGCTAAAAATAAAGAATAATTCTCCTTGTACAACGATTGGTTACAACATTGGATGACAATCTCTCACAAGGAGGAGGGGCCCGCGATTATTTTTGTACATGTAGCATTCCCCAAAAATAAACCATAAAAACATGCACCATCGTTCAATATGTAAGAAATATTTTCTTCGAATCTTTTCCTAATTGTTTAAGACATACTATAAATTAAACTGGCATTTGTTTGACAATCATTATTTTCATTTTGTTTTCTACTTACTCACTTTTCGTCACATGTTCACACGATAAAATATTCTGCACGTAAACTTACAAATTTTTCATATTTTTTAACCACAAATTCTCTTAAAAATAATTATTCAAAATTCTATTTTTCCAAAATAATGGTCGTCAAACAGATGCTACGTTCTAATTACACAAGACATGCCTAATTTTTAAAATTTTAATTAAATATGAATTTATTTTTGTGCTTAAGATTTAAGTCAAATTCATTTTTAAATTACTTATTTTCTTACTCATAATTTTTTTTTTAGAAAGTATACATTCGTCCCTAATTGGCGACCATTATAAAATGAAATTGGGAAATAATATTTTGAATAGTAATTCTTTTAGAGAATATGTGATTAAAAAATAAAAAATAAATTGAATTTATATATATAATATTTTATTATTTGAATGTTAGTGAAAAAGGGTATGAAAACAAAGAATTATTCAAACGTATAATTTCCTCTCTCTCTCTCTCTAGACTTTTGTTAAACGCGCGTAGTTTCTCTCTCTATATCTTTTTCCATTTCTGTACATATATGACCAAATCGGCAAATCCGTTACATTTTCTCTCCCTAAATTCCACCGTCTCTCTCGACATTATGGAGACGGCGGTTCAGGTGGAGGAGTTAACTTCCGGTGCGAGCGGCCGCATAATTCCGCTATTCAAAAACCTCCGGCAGTCGATCATTTCCTATAATGCCTTCAGAAAATCTGTCCTGTTAATCTACTCGTTTTTTGTATGGATCGTCCTAATACTCCCTCGCCGCCATCGCCGGTCGTCCTCAGCTGCCGCCTCTCCGCCTCAGTCCCCCAGGGCGGAGACTCGGAGAAAGTTTGGTCTTCGGAGAGATGAGGAGGATACGCTAAGGCGTAGGGCACTCGCGGAGGATATAGAGATGATGGTGGAGGATACTGGTGACTGGAACAGCCGGTGCCAGTGGAATACGTTTCTGTTTTACGGTGCGCGACGGAATGCTCTCTTCTGCCGGTCGTGGTTCCCGGTTTCCGGTGAATTAAAGTATGTTACTTTAGTTCTGTATAATTAATTTAATGTTTGTAGGTGCATGAAATCGAGAACTTTGATTTTCTAGGGGTTAAATTTGATATTTATTTGTTTGTACCGTATCAATTGCAGTCTCTTATTTATTTTTATTTTATTTTTTTTATCCAGGGGAAATATTTTTTTTTATCTTTCCAGTTCGGTTTAGTCTTCAAATTAAAAGATACGGCCCTTGAGATTTGATTGTACCCACACACATGCATATATAAGTCTAAACATGTAATCTACGAATATATTGGCGGTTTTGTTGGAAGGAATGTGAGAAACGTTTCGTGTTTATGGCTTTATGCATCTTATGTGTAAGCACATTTGCAGTCATATTCTATCAATTGTGTCTCCTATTTGAATGATGAGTGTGAGTGTGAAGAAGTTGTTTCTCAGTTTTAGTTAACACGTCTTGGGTAATGTCTAGCAATTTGTGAGGTCATTTGAATGTAGAAGATTTAACATGATATATAAGCAATTCCATGAATACTCTAGAATTAAAGGTTTTCTATGAAGTGATAATTACAAGTATAAAACAAAAAGTAGTTCTTAATATACTTGTTTTTCTTCATATTTTTTTCTTTTTTGACTGAGTTATCCATGACCTTTCCATACTCACCTGCCCTCATTTTCATACTGTTTGGTGGATATAATATTCGTACATTGGAAAGTACTGCATCCTCCTAATGTTTACTAACTTTATTTTTGTAAAAGATGAAAGGTAAGGACTTGAGCAGCGTTACTGAACCAACACTGCTGATGACCATCTGATATATATAGATTGATTTTTGTGAAGACAATTATAACACAGAGTGCATGACGACTGATGAATTTTAATTGGAAGGAGATATTATCACCTAGTGTAAGCGAATAGAAAAGCCTGTAATACTGTAAAGGTGAATACAAATTGAATATGCTTATTCTTTTTGATGATTAAAAATTCTTTTATATTCTGGATGTTGTGATATTGAATTATTGAGCATGAAACTTTGGTCCTATCACTTGATATTTTTCTTGTGTATTTAGTACCAATTATTACAATTCTTTTGTCAACCATTTTACAATGAAAACCAATTACAAAAAAACCAATTATTGTAATGGTTGTAACAGTCTTTCGTTTAGTGAATTCTTGTTCTTGGATAAAATTCTGGAACACCTGGATTTGATCTTGAAGAAAGGAACAAGGGGCTAAGCTGTTGCTAGTCTCTGTTCTTTTGTGGTATTCTGATTTAGAAGATGTATAGTTCTTGACTTTAGCTGTTGCCTGCTGTTTGTTTTTGGCTTCTGAACTTCTCTTACAAAGGCCATTTTCCATTTCAGGGGTATTTTGATCATCATACATGGGCTTAACGAGCACAGGTTTTTTTTTCTTATGTTAATTGCTTGTTTTCTTTTTGGTGTTAATTCCATGGAATGATCATTCATGAGTTGGTTGACATTTACAGTTTTCGCATTTTTTTTCAGTGGACGCTACTGTAATTTTGCCAAGCAATTGATCTCCTACAACTTTGGGGTCTATGCAATGGACTGGATAGGTACGTTTTGTGGATCCAAATTTCTAGTTGATGCTCTCATTCCATTTCACGTTTACCCTTGTTCTACACTCCTACGATGATTTTAGCAGTGTTCTAAAAGCGTTGGCGAGACGTGGAGGCCAAGCTTCAGACTAAAAGCCTTTTTTTCATTTTAATATTATTTTAGATTTTTAAATCAATCTAAAATTCATTTAATAATTGAAGAAAAAAGCGTAAAAGAAGCACGCCTAGGCACCTCTTTTTAGAACGCTGGATTTTAGTGTGATATCATTTCCTTCGTTATATTTCTTCTACGATGAAGTTATTCGAAATTGTTAGTTATCAGTTTTTAAACTTTATCCCTTTCCGTTCTGCTTTGATAGACTGATAAGTGATCTTGGTCCTGACTTGAAAAACCAAGTTTTCATGATGTTAGGAAATTATGCAAGTTTTAGTCAATTGTTATGATAGTTTCCATCTCAAAAAGTGTATATATTCCGATGGCAGGTCATGGAGGAAGTGATGGATTGCATGGATATGTGCCTTCACTGGATCACGTCGTTGCAGACACGGTGGGTCATGATTTATGCTAATTTGGTCTACATTGTTGGAGTACCTTGCCTTTTTAATTAACAATGTGGGTATAAATAATCTGGATTTTAATATTGTGTATTTTACTGTTTTAACAGGGGGTTTTCCTAGAGAATATTAAATCGGAGAACCCAGGTGTACCGTGTTTTTTGTTTGGTCATTCGACTGGAGGAGCAGTGGTTTTGAAGGTAAGGCATTCAACTTGGCCAAATACTAGTCTCAGATCCTTTTCTTCTTTTAAGTCATTCTTTTTTCATCTTTGTGTTGCATTCTGCTATTTATAATTTTACAATTGAATGTCGGAAATTATGCTTCTTTGAACAGGCTGCTTCGTATCCACTTCTAGAAGAAATGCTGGAGGGAGTCATATTGACTTCACCAGCATTGCGCGTTAAGCCAGCCCATCCTATTGTTGGTGTAAGACTTCAATTTATGCTGAAATTTGGACCTATAAATTGTCTTTTAGTTTTCCTTATTAAGCATCTCAAATTACATACCTGACTAGTTGCTCGATTGCCTTGTTACAATGTCAATGATTTCAACCCAGAACCTCTTCCTTGCATGATAAATGTTTTATGCGCCTATTTATGCAGGCCATGGCACCAATTTTCTCACTGGTGGCTCCGAGGTTCCAGTTCAAAGGTGCTAACAAGAGAGGCATTCCAGTTTCCAGGGATCCTGCAGCACTCTTGGCCAAGTACTCTGATCCATTGGTCTATACTGGACCCATAAGGGTCCGAACAGGCCACGAAATTTTGCGCATCTCATCTTACTTAACACGCAATTTCAAGTCTATCACGGTCCCCTTTTTCGTCCTTCATGGAACAGCTGATAAAGTCACTGATCCATTGGCTTCTCAGGATTTGTATAATGAGGCAGCATCCAAGTTTAAGGACATAAAACTCTATGAGGGGTTCTTGCATGACCTCCTGTTCGAGCCTGAGCGAGAAGATATAGCTCGTGATATCATCGATTGGATGGAGAAGCGATTAAGTCTCGCGTGATCTAGAACATGCCAGTAGTTGTTGGTGAAGTAAAATCTGAAAAATGTATTTATTTATTTGATCATAGAACTTTCAAGGTGGTGGGGAATATTTATGATTTATAGCTCTGGATTTAGTCCTTAGGCATTCACTAGAAACTGCTGTAGTATGGACTAGGAACCTTAAATTTATTATATTTCGTAGCAAAAACGACATGGTTTTATAATATTAAATGCTTGTGGAGATTCTCTTGCTGTTGAAGTAATTTGTGTGTAATAGGTTTCGCCTAAACAACTACAACGTTAATATTTTACGTGCTTTGAGATAAAAATTTCTTAACCTTGTAAAATATATTGGGGAGAAGTGTAATTTGTGACACAACTTGGTGTTAAGAAAGCCATACCGAAAAAAATGTGCCCAAAATAAACCTGCGAACACAGAGATATATTTGCACAAATAATATATTTTAGTCACGTACATAGATAACAATAAAAATAAAGAATTTTTGATATACAAATAAAGTATAAATATTACATCGATTACCCGTTTGTCGTGACATTACTGAAGTTCATAAGCACCATGAATTTCTCCTTATATGTACTCAATGAAGATCCTTGGAAATATTCCAATGCCTCTGAAAATCGTATAAATTGAAGTGACAAAATTTCAATCGACTGTCTATAATTATTATGCTAAACCCAAAAAAGTACGCTCTAACTTCTTCATATAAAGTATCAGTTCTTTTAGTTCCAAAAACCTTTTTTATGTTGGTATATACATTCTTGGATGTGTCATATGCACAATAGATTTTGGCATTAGAGACAACATTTCAAATTGCTTGAATAAAAGCCAACTCCCTATCCAATATGCCATTCGATATAGGTGTGTTATCTGAATTTCTCACTAACTTTTGCATTTGGATTTTCATGCCTTCTCAATCAGTCTATGTCTTGCACGTGCGTTATAAATAATTTTCATAGTGCTAACATTCTTTAGATTTCATTCTCTGAGTCATCAATATGTTCCTTGATTTTACTAAGCTTTTTGATATGAATATTATAATCGTATCATCTTCACTCGTTAATCTTGACACGTAAGATTGTCTTTCCAAATGCTGTGTTGGACGATGATCGTGCATTCCATATATTACCTTTACCATCGATTCATCCTCACTCAACAACTTTACACCATTTAGATCAAATGGACACCCACATTTACATGTTCCAATAGATCTCTTCCGATTTGATTCATGGTTAGAAAGACGTTTATGTTTAATACTAGTGGTGCACGTGCGATGCACGTGTTAAAGTTTAGTTTGCTACCTAATAGCATGCAGTGATTTCTAGTTATTTTACACAAACTTGGGACCAGATCTTCGTTTCAAGATTGCACTATAAGTAATGTAATGTTTGTAAGGGAATAAGAAGTTGTCTTCTCTTTTTAATTTCCTAGAAAATAGAGATGAAAACATATGTTTTCAAAATTTCTAACTACCCTCTATCCTTTTTAACAACAAAGTATAAGACGTGGTAATTCAAATGCTCAGAAGAAAATGCAAAAGAAGGAATCGCATTACAAGATATATCAATAATTGTCATATATCTGAGAAAATGAGTGCTTCACAAACATGTGAGCAACACTCTCCAGTACGCGCACTTGACAAAGAAGTTACACGAGGAAGATTTTGTACCAAATCTGCAATGACAGCAGGATTGCGAGGATCGTCTTTAGGAATTCCCTTCTCTACTTTCCTAATAAGATCAGTTTCAACATCAGCTGCTTTGGTATATATTCCACCACCCAATTGAGCAAAAAGAGCAACAAATGAAGCTCCAAAACCATATCCAACAAGAAGAGGCACTGGGAGAGAAATATGAGAGTCAAACTGTGGACATTAAATATTTGGAAATCCAAGAACATAAAAGGAAGCAACTATTAACATTTGACAAAGTAAAACAGGAGTTGAAAACTTACAGTCAGTAGCCTTCATTGTACCTGGTGAATTTACCCCCAACCAAACATAAACAATGGCATAAAGTATACCAATACCAATGACAGCCATACCAACAACTACCAGAGCAGAGAAACCACCAGCACGAACAGATATCTGCAAGAGAATAATGCAAATTCACAACAGTGTCTAAATGCATTTCAGTAGAAAGTGAAGTGGAAATATCAGTGGAGAAAAGAAAACCTGCAATGCCTCCCTGGCTGATCGACTTGCAGCACTTGAGACTCTTACATTTGCACGGACAGATACCCACATCCCCACATAACCAGCAATACCAGAACACAAGGTTCCAAGAAGAAAAGCAGCGATAGTAATAAATGCAGACGTTGACATGCATCAGTATAGCCCAAGTTTACCCTTTATATTTTGGACCCTTCAATTTTAAATGATAACTTGAAACTATATCCCAATTTTAAAGTCATTCTATCCTCACCTCCCTAGGCCAGAAGATTCTTGCTGAGGCATTGTACGGCGAAACAAGTATATGCTGAGGATGTTTATTGGTAAATATTTATTCTTAATGTCGAATGTTTTCTTATAAATTGAAAATATCGATTGCCCTGCAAGTATTAAGTTAAACAAGTCCAGCATTCACTTCAAGTAGCTGCTGGGCAATGATTAAATTTTCTAAGAATTGAATTTGATAACTCTGAAACTCTTCATTCTCAAAAGCGAAGGAATCAAATCAGACTACACTGATGGGACATTGAAAGTGCACAGCTGTTACAAGTTTGCCTAAATCCATGAACAAATGCAGTGCATTTTGTTAACAGATGCAACATTACCTACAACTTATGTTTCCTTCACTACAAAATAACAATACTTAATTATGGTTATACGGAGTATGAAGCTTTAGATTTTGGGTAAAAGGGCTAAAGTTACAGCATTTTTGATGTAGTTCAATCCAAACTGAAGAAAAAAATCTTAAGCCTAATTACAATGATCATGAAAGAGAATGAAGTACCTCAAGATTCTGGATAATAAGATCAAAATCAATTAACTCAAAATCATTGCCATCGTCAACTCCAGTGCGATAGTTCTCCACTGAGATAACAATGCAACCAATTACAGATGCTACTTTTTCAGCTAAGCTTCAAGAACTATTAAAATACACTTTTTTAAGATAAAATGCTGAATTAAGCTTCTATAAAAGTCTACCAGTAATTCCCACTGAATTAACAAATTGAACACGTGTGTACAAGATACTTACCTTGATTTACCTGACCCACTCGGGCCTCCTATTCCAATTGTTACTACACTTTATTTCTTTGATCTAAGCTCTTGAATCGATTTCACCAACAAGTAAAATCCGTGATCAAAAGACTGAGAAATCCAAAACTCATAATGCTTAGACAATTGGAATTAATTGCCCAAAATGTACCCAAACTTCAAATCTGAATTTCAGAGTACCAAATTTGTGAAGTCCAAATTTAATTAAGACAATTTTATTCAGCAAAAATATTTCTCTCTATGAAGAAGGTTAAGAGGACAATCACACCATAATGCATATAAAGACAACACAATCTCATAAGGACCAAATAAGATATTGTTCTGCTGGCCCAATTAAGTAAAAATTCATTACTCAGAAATTTTTATTGTCCAAAGTGCATGAATTAAAGGGAAGAAACCCTACATGAAGTGAGCGGTCTTACCTATCAAAAAAAATAAAGTGAGCAATCTTACTGAGAGTGGTACAGATTGCATACATCATACATACTGATATAATACCACACATCATATTAAGTAGCTATCAGCAATACTGAAAGATAATGCTATCACATGGTCAAACCAAACAAGAAATTCGAAGTGCACTTGAGAAAGACATACAACATGCTACCAAGAAGACATATAATAGACTCTACAACTACTCAATGAAGCTCTTAGAAGGAAACAACTCATAATTGCTAAACTGCATAAGATGCACTTATCACGAAGGTTCGTTTTAAAACTGAATGCCCACGAATTGAACCATAGCAAAAGTATTTCAACTATGTTCATCGCTTAAACCAAAAGTCACCTTAAGAAAAAATACATCAGCAAACTGCATGCATGGGTAGAAAATCTGGGCTGCTGATAATTCATCTTGCTCGGAGCGACCCATAATTTGACAACACCTAATTAGACAACAAAAGAAAAGAGAAAAAAACTGT